TAGAAAGAAAGAAAGAAGCTATTAAGCCATGAAAGGCATGGAAGAAACTTAAAAGACATATTATTAAATGAAAGAAGCCAGTCTGAAAAGGTTACAAACTGTATGATTTCAACCAAATGACATTCTGAAAAAGGCAATGCTACAGAAACAATAAAAAGATCGTGGTTTCCAAGTTTGGGGAGAGGGAGGGAGGGAGGAATAAATAGATGGAAACACAAGGGATTTTAGGGCAATGAAATTATTCTGTATGATACTATAGTGGTGGCCACATGGCATTATGCATTTGTCAAAACCCACAGAATGTACATCATCAAGAGGGAACCCTAATGAATGTAAACTATGAACTTTGGTTGATAATAATGTGTCCATGTTGGTTCCCCAATCCAAATATGCCACACTGATGAGGGATGCTGAGGTGGGTGGGGAGGGCTGTGTGCAAACTCTCTATATTTTCTGCTCAATTCTGCTGTGAACCTGAAACTGTTTTAAAAAATAAAATCTATTAATTAAAAAAATGATTGAAATTGCTTAATTATCTGTGTATGGGAAGTTGATAAACTACTGCCAAATTTCTGTTCCAATACTGATCTACAAGAAGACTACAAGAAGAACCAACGTATCCATTTGACATTGCAGAAAGAGTGCCCAGGACCCACAAGCTTTTCCAGAAAAGAAAATGCACAGGAAAATGTCTGAGATCTGGGCAGGAAAAGGGCAGGAACTGGTATTAAATAAGAAAATACAACTACAAAATTAAGAGATGTTTCATTAAATTCATGTATAAGTTTCATTAATTTTCAATTCCAAAACACATACAAATTTCCTTACATTTGAAAATAATCAGTACATTAGATTTTTGCATTTCTCAAGAACTATCATGTATGCAAAATGATTGCTTATCAAATCATAAATGAATCAAATAACTTTAAAAATAAGAGTAATTCATTCAAAAAGTTTTGTAAGAAAAATATTCACCATTGAATATGGGTACATCTTAGTATTTGATATGACACAGGGTAGTGTGTCCCTTTTCTCCCTCCATTCCCTAGCTGCCTGTCTCCTTCAGTTCCAAATTACTGATAATATAGTTCAGAGAGGGAGAGGCAGCGGTTCCTGCAAGGGAGGGCTGGGAAGGTTGTGAGGACAAAGCTTCCAGGGATTAGGAGGATGAGCTCAGAAAAGCAGCAAGTACAAACAGTCCATGTATGATACACATGGAAACAAACTATACAAACATAGATACATCCCAGACGCTTTGAAACATAATTGACAGATTTAACAAGTAACAGATTTAATGCTATATTTCCACACCTAGAGGCAGGAGGCCACACTTAGAGGTAGGGAGTCTCTAGGAGCTAAGAGCAGCAACTGACATCCAACAAGAAAACAGTAACCTCACTCCTATAATCATAAAGAGGTGAATTCTGCCCAACAACCTGTAGTAGCTTGGAAGTGGAGTAGCTAGTGGAATCTTCCCTAGTCAAATCTCCAGATGAGAATACAACCTGGCCAACAACTTGATTACAACCCTTTTGGACCCTGAGTAAAAGACACTGTTAAGCTGTGCCCAGATTCTTGACTCACAAAAATTATGGGATGAAAAGAGTGTGTTACTTTATGCCACTAAGTTTGTGGTCATTTGTTCTGCAGCAATAAAAACTAACACAGTGAGCCAAGCTGGGCCCACATATTTATTTAAGCCACATTTAAGTATTAAATAATTTATATTTCACTTTAAAAAGGAATTGGGGCAGATTAAAGCTACAAATGGTCCCTTAAAGGTTCGTATGTACCTGTTAACAGAGATTAGAGAAAAACAATTAAAATTACAAAATATGAGAAGGCTATGATGAAAAGCACTGATTGTTGAATAACCTGAATGTAATCAAATTCTAGATATTAGCATCCTAAGAAAACAAAAGAACAGAAAATATATTCAAAGCTATGCATTAATATGGAGGTGGAAAAACTGTCACAGCCCTCTCCAATTCAAGCCAAAACAGTGTTCACCACCAATCTCGTTAAGCAATATTTCAAGGATTTTTTTTTAAGTTAAAGGGACATAAAGAATAGTTGTATATAGATAGTTTTATATTTTGTAATACTTACAGTCTATTCTTCGATCACTTTAAATTTTCTTGTTGCAACATCTTCATGGTTACCCTGGGGATTACAACGGTCATCTTATATTTCTAACAAATTAGCTTGAACTCAGCTTTGGTAGTACACAAAACTATGCTTCTATATAGTTCTGCCCTTCCTCTTTATGCGTTATTGTTACAAACTGTATCTTTGTACACTGTGATTTCCTGTCTCATTTTTATTATTTAGTCACATTCTGAGTAGGGTCACAATAATGTGCCTTTTTAGTATCTGCTCCAGGTGATCTTCATGTATAAAACCACCGAGATCCTCCCACTGAAGTGGAAATGAGGATACAATGGGGATGGCTGAGGCATATGGGAAGAAAGTATAGAGTTTGCAATGACAATAAGACAGAGAGAGATCTTGCAAAGCTACAATATGGCAAACACAAGGTTAAAATAAACAGACTAGTAGTGTTATTCTGTAATGTATCATCTGACAATATGTTGAAACATTTAAAAGTATATATGTCGCTTCCAACCCGATAGATATCAGCATATAAAAATTACCAAATATACTTTCAAGATGTTAGAAGTTTCCGAAAAGCAAATTCTTTATCATTTTTCTGCCTCCACTCAGTTCCTACAAACACCACATCATCACTGGTTCCAGCTCACCTTACTTATGTGTAGCTTTTAGAAAGTGCAGAAGACAAGAAGGTGGGAAGGTCATGTTTCCCCTTCCAGAGGTATATCATTCTCTGAGAGAGCATGCAGAGGTCCCTCTCAAGCTCTGCTGAGTCCTGACCTCTGTGGGGAATCACTGCTCTAGTCCAATCTTTTCATTTCATAAATGAGAAAATGGGCTCAAAAGAACAGGCCTGCCAAAGATTAGCATAGTAGAGCCTGAATTAAAATGTATTTCCTGACTTCTCCCCACTCTATCACTTCTCAGTGAGAATAACAAGAGGATTCTGAGTTTCCTAATATTGTTTTTGGAAACAAATCCAATTATATTTCTTTAAAAAGCTGAAATGTACAGATGCCTACAATGCAGTTTCCTCCAAGCTGCCACCCATGATTTTTATATTATTAGTAGGAAAAACAAACATACCTTGGTTGCTAGCAACAGAAATTCTGGAATTAAGAATTAAGCACAAGAGGCAACAACAGAATTTTTAAGTCTAAGGCTAGGGGGTGAGGTTGTTCTTCCTCATCACAAATTTCTATTTACTATGTTAACTCATTAAGTTTAAGAATACTGGTAAGTACCATCCTTTTAGGGAAAGACCTGTTACTCAAAGGATCCAATACTAACTCCATGTAATTGCAATAGTTACTGAATACTGTCACTCCATCCTATGGAGTAGAAGGAAAATAAAGATACTTCTTAGCAAACACAATACAAGCATAAGTCAGAAAACAGTTTCTAGCTTAAGCACACCAAGAGCGTTATCAAAAAAAACCCCCAAAAAACTCTGAAACAAAGGTTACTTACAACTCCAGGACATTTTAATTCTAAAGAGCTTTAATAAATAAAAAGCCCCAGTTTCCAAATATCTATCAAAAAGGGAATGATCAATGAGTCCAATCAGAGCTGTGGAAAAAAATTTTTTAAAGGAGGGGAAATAAAGGTTAATAACCATTTTCTTTCAAAAAGATAAAACACTGCTTCCTCAAATAACCACTCAGAATGTCACTTGAGATGAACAGGCAGGAGGAATATAACTGTCCATGTGTGCACTATATACAGTATTGGGCAACTAAATGCCAGCTTAGCTATTTAGGAATGGCTTGCTAAAACGTTGAAAAAATGAAAGACTTCATCTTTGTCATAGACTGCCACTTCAGTGGAACATTCAGTGCACATGACTGGATGATAGATTTCTTCCATATCTGTCTCTGCCTGCTCCGCAGCATCTTGGTTAGACTTCATCTTCTTATGGCCTCGCCTTTTCTTCCTGTTCTCTGGGGTTTTGTATCTTAGAATCTCTTCTTTGTTGACAGAACAATTCATCACAAACATTGCTCTATATTGAGTTTTGTATGATTCATGCCTACGAAGAAAATGAAATGGAGAATTTGGATTTATGTTCTATTGTAATAGTTACACATTTAGATAAAACTTGAGAATAATTTACTGAAATACCAACCAAAGTAAAGACATGAGAAATGGGAAGTTTAGAAGCTTTTAAGAGTTATTTTAAGAATAAGAAGAGACTTATCAATAGATAATAAAAAAATAAATATATCCTCTTTTCTATTGCTCTCAAAGTAATTTTCATCTCAGAAAAAAAAATTTTTTTTTGATTTGCTCTTCAAACTTAGAAAGACAAAGAAGAGTTGTGGGAAATCTGAGAGTCAACGTTTAAGTAATCTTTAATTGTCTTTTCCTGTTGTGACCTGAGAGTCTGCTCTCCTCTCAATACAGGTGGTGCCATTCTAGTCACCATTTTAGTAAAAGCTATAGCTTTAAAAGCTTAAAGAGCATATGACTTTATGATGTCCACTCTTGACTTACTCCAGCAGTCTAAGGAACAGATATGCTTCCTTTGTTCTTCTCATATACATATTATTTTCCTACTTCTTTCTCAACTTATTAAGTTATTTTCCATTTTTCCCCCCTTAAACCTCATGGAAAGAAATATCTGGCTAAAAAGAGTGAACTCAAGTTATTCCTTTATTGGTTCTGAATGCTTCTCCACCACTACCACCATGCTGGTACTTCTCCAGATGACACTATGAAAGTTTCGTTTATAATCCACTGTATTGGGATCCTGTATTAATATGGAACATAATTTTACCAAGGCCAACTTCTACTATTAGATCATGAAGCAACATGGTAACATGGCTTAATTTAAAAGAAAAGCAACTTAAGTACAAAAACATTTTACTTTTTCTTTATTTCATATTCTAGGTGTCAATTTATATAAAAAAGCTTAAGAGTTCAGATGGAGAGTCCAAAAACCCATTGTTGTAGATGACCAGAAACCTCAAGCTAGCTAGTAAGAGTAAAGTACATCTGCCTACTCATTAGTTACTAGAACAAATCTACCACCCACAACATCATTTAGTTTCAGTTAACCTGATTCAGAACATGGACTAAACTAAGCATTTATAAGGCTACCAGAGAAAGGGAAAAAGAAAAGTAAAAAAAAAATTAAAAAAAAGGAAAGGAAAGGAAAAGGGAAAGCGTGTATCTGGATCGATAGAATGAACGGGAAAAAATGACACAATCATCTCAGTTAATGCAGAAAAAGCACTTGACAAAATTCAACACTCTTTCATGATAAAAACACTCAATAAAATAAGAATAGAAGGAAACCGCCTCAATGCAATAAAGGCCATATATAAAAACCCCATAGCTAATATCATACTCAATGATGAAAGACTGAAAACTTTTCCTCTAAGACAAGGAACAAGACAAAACGCCTGCTTTCACTATTTTTATTCAACAAAGTACTGAAAGTTCTAATCAGAACAATTAGGTAAGAAAAGAAATAAAAGGTATCCAAACTGGAAAGGAAGAAGGAAAATTTTCTCTGTTCACAGATGACATGAAATTATATGTAAAAAACTCTTAATGATTACATTAAAAAACTATTAGACTAATAAACAAATGCAACATAGTTGCAGGGTACAAAATCAACACATAAAAGCTATTGTGTTTCTATATACTAGCAATGAACAATCCAAAGAGGAAAGGAGAATAGAAATTACCCTAGATGCTGGGGTGGGTAGGAGTGGAGAATGAGGAATTACTGTCTAACGGGTACAGAGTTTCTGTCTGGAGTGACGAAAAAGCTCTGGGAATGGATAGTTGTGGTGGCTGTACAATATTGTGACTGTGGTTCATACAACCAAATTGTACACTTAAAATGGTTAAAATAGGGAACAAGATAAGAGTGCCCATTCTCATCACTCCTATTCAAGAGTACTGGAAATCCTACCCAGTCAGGTAAGAAAAAGAAATTAAAGGTCCACAAATATAAAAGGAAGAAGGAAAAATTGTCTGTTTGCAGATGACATGATCTTAAATATAAAAAACTCTAAAGACTCCACCCAGAAAATGTTAGAATAAATAAATTCAGTAAAGATTCAAGAGATAAAGGCAACAAACAAAAATCTGTTGCATTTTCACTAACAACAAACTGAGAAATTATGAAAATAATCTCATTCACAATAGCATCAAAAATAATAAAATACTTCAGAATAAATTTAACCAAAGAGGTGAAAGATGAACACTGAAAACTGTAAGACATGGATGAAAGAAACTGAAGAAAACACAAATAAATGTAAAGATATCCCATGTTCACAGACTGGAAGAATTACAATGTTCATGCTACCCAAATCCCTTTATAGATTCAATGCAATCCTTATCAAAATTCCAATGGCATTTTTCATAGAAAGAGACAAAAATTCTAAAATTTGTATAAAACCACAAAATAGCCAAAGCAATCTTGAGAAAGAAGAACAAAGCTGGAGGCATCACACTTCCTGATTTCTAAGTATACTACAAAGCTACAGTAATCAAAACAGTATGGGATATATTAAAAACAAACTCATAGATCAACTAAACAGAATCAAGAACCCAGAAAAAAACCCATGCATATACCATCAACTTGACAAGAAAGTCAAGAATATTCAATGGGGAAAAGAAAGTTTCTTCAATAAATGGTATTGAGAAAATTGGATATTCACAAGAAAAAAAATGAAATTGGAATTACATTCCAAATTGGAATCACAAAAATTAACCTGAAATAGATTAAGACTAGTATGTAAGATCTGAAATCATGAAACTCCTAGAAGAAAACATGGGGGAAAAGCTCCCTGACATTGGTCTTGGCAACGGTTTTTTGGAGATGACACCTAAAACACAGGCAATGAAAGCAAAACTAAACAAATGGGACTACATCAAACTAAAAAGCTTCCGCATAGCAAAGAAACAATCAACGAAATAAAAGGCAATCTATGGAATGGGAAAAATTATTTCAAGTCGTTATCAGATATAAGGAATTCATATAACACAATAGCAAAAAAAAAAAATCCCGATTAAAAAATGGACAAAGGACCCGAGCAGACATTTTTCCAAAAAAGACATAAAAATAGCCAACAGGTACACAAAAAGGTACTCAAGATCACAAATCATCAGTGAAATACATACCAAAAGTATGAAGTATCACCTCATACCTATTAGAAATAGCTATGATCAAAAAGACAACAAAAGTGAACCCTTGTATACTGTTTGTCAGAATATAAACTGGTACAGCCACTAGGGAAACAGTATGGAGGTGCCTCAAAACATTAAAAATAAAATTACCATATGATCCAGCAATCCCACTTCTGGGAATATATATAAAGGAAATGAAATCACTATCTCGAAGAGATATCTGGGCCCCCACCTCAGACAGGTGATCAAGGTCCACATTAACAGTCATAGATCATGTTGATAGTTTGTTCACCTGATATAATGTGATGAAAACAGCATTTTACTTCTATGGTCTTCCTCCAAAAAACCTATCGCAGCATTATTTACAATAGCCAAGGCATGGAAACAACCTAAGTGTCCACTGAAAGATGACTGAATAGAGAAAATGTATGTACATACAATAGAATCATAAAAAAAGAAGAAAATCCTACCATTTGTAACAACATGGATGAAACTTGAGGGCATTATGTTAAGTGAAAAAAGTCAGACAGAGAAAGACAAATAGTGTATGATCTCACTTATAAATGGAATCTTAAAAAAAAACCTGAACTCATAGAAACATAGATTGGTTGTTGGTAGATGGGTAAAGGTGATCAAAAAGTACAAAGTTTCAGTTATAAGATGTACAGCATGGTGACTATAGTTAACAATACTATATTGCATACTTGAAAATTGCTAAGAGTAGGTCTTAAAAGTTCTCAACAAACACAAACACACACACACACACGTAACTGTGAGGTGATGGATGGTTAACTAACCTTATTGTGGTAATCATTCTAAAATATATTTGGTGGGGAAGGTATAGCTCAGTGGTAGAGCATGTGTTTAGCATGCAAGAGGTCCTGGGTTCAATCCCCAGTACCTTCATTTTAAAAAAGATGAACCTAATTACCTCCCTCACCAAAAAAGCTTAAAAATAAGTAAATAAAAATTTAAAAATAATACAAAATATATTTGAATATCAAATCATCACGTTGTATACCTTAAACTTACATAATGTTTTATGTCAATTACATCTCAATAAAGCTGAGAAAATTTTTTTTTAACTTTAAATGGTCTAGTTGACAATAAATTGAATATTCAAATAAAGTATTCTTTTAGAAGAAAATTTTTACATGGTTAAAATAATAAATTTTATGTTACATGAATTTTATCACAATAGAAAAAAAATAAGTGTATTTGAGAGATTTTGTCATTCCACAACAATATGTGAGGTTTTACTGAACACTTGCCAGCACTGGCAAGTGCTTTATTAGAAAAACTACTTTGATAACAGACTACGTATAACCAAAATTATTTGTATAAAGATTAGTCATGTAGCACATGTCATACATACACATACATACGTACATAGTCATGTAGCACAAAGGAGAGAACTTAGTCATAATTCCTAAGTTCCTCAAACATCTATTTCTGATTTAAACAAGGACCACCAAGTGGTATTTTTCTTGTGCACATGTGTGCATGCACGTGTGTGGTTACCCTTTATCCATTACCTTTGGCAGTCAAGACACAGTGTGGTCATGCAGGCAGGGCAATTCAAGACAGCATCACTATTTGGAACAGGCTGTTGTTGCTGATGTGGCCTCTGTATTCCAAAACCATGGTAACTAAAACAGAAAAAAAGAAGTGGAGGAGGGAAACAAAGCCAGATCTTGATTTCTAATGCCACTCTCCAATAGAAGAAACCAGTACTCCTTAGAGAAATCATTGAGTCTAGAAATGGGGATTACAACATGAACCTGGAACATCTTGTAGTGCCAAAAAGTAAGGAAATGCTCAAAAAGAAAAAAGAAAAAACCCACAATGAGACAGATATGTTAAAAGGGCCCAGAAGCCAAATGAAAGAGCTCCCAGTGGCCTAAGATGAAACAATTAGAGCATCAAAATAAAGTAGGATTAAATTATAACCAAAGTATAAATAAATACCCATTAGTCCATGCTGACATGACTTAATAAATAAATGAGGGAGAATAGACAAGTCTCCAATACAAAAGAATTACAAATAATCTATGAAGATACTCTCCCTTCAAGAAGGTGGAGCATAACTCCCTACTCTTTAAGGCTAGACTAAACATAGTGACATCTTTCTAAAGAGTACAGTACAAAAAGGAGGGAAAGAGTAACTGCATAATAATGAAACACTACCTCATCAGAGTGATCACGGTAAACATTAACAGTCATACATCGTGCTGATAGTATGTGCCCTTGATATAAAGTGATGAAAATAGCACTTCATTTTCATCACTCTGTAGTATTCCTCCTAAAAAACTTATAATTTCAGTCTAATCATGAGAAAAACACTAGATAAATTCCAATAGATATATCTCCCACAATAAACTGTCATAGCCAAGAAAAGCCTAAGGAGACATGACAACTAAATGCAACATGGTACCCTGGATAGGTTCTTAGAACAGAAAATGGATATTAGGTAAAAACTAAGGAAATCTGAATAAAGTATGGACTTTAACTAACAATAATGTATCAATACTGGTTTATTAATTGCGATAAATGTACCATATTAATGCATGATGTTAATGATAGGAGAAACTCTGTGTGTGTGTTATAAGGCAGTGGGGAGAAATATGAAAATTCTCAATTTTTGGCTCAATTTTTTTGTAAATCTAAAACAATTCTAAAAAAATAAAGTCTATTAATTAAAAAAAAACCAATAAAGCTATATTTAAAAAACAAGCACATAATCTCTAAGTGCCTAAGGATTTTATTCTGGCTCATTCCCTGTTGTATTTCAAGAGTCTAGGACAGTGTCTGGCATACAGTAAGTGCTCAATAAATATTTGCTAATTGAAAGACTTAAGCATGAATCTACATATGAAGGCACTAAAATATAAAAGTAAATATTCTTAAAAGGGGCATATGGTAAACTCTTGAAAATTGAACAGCAAAATGCAAATCATATGGCATTATTCCTAAACTCTTCAAATGTTTGTGTGGAAAACAACTGAGAACATGTGGTATATATTTCATAATTGTTGTTAAATACCTCCAATGGTTAGCAAATTTCAAAACCCAAACCCCAAGAAAATAACCATCCGTTCAACAGACACTGAATGCCCATTTAACAATGTAGAAGACGCTTGGGATATAGCATTGAACAAAACGGGCATGATCACTGCCCTTGCGGTGCTTAAAATGTGGTGAATTCATTATTTGAAACTGATTTGGGGGTTCTTAAAAGGCAACTACTGCTTGATGCAGGAATGTGAATAAACTAGTAACGTTATTTCTTCTCAAGATTATATAACAATGAAACTACATTCCATCTTACTTCACTGACAAATTATGTTACCAGAATCAGGAGCTAGACTGTAAGCTCCTTAATTGTTTCAATATTACTCATAGCACTTAAAATCTTCATTTCACACTTGTAGGTGTGAAAAATATTCATCAAATAACTGCAAAGGGCAGTTCAAAGAAGTCCTGCATGGGTGAAACTGGGAGAGGAGAAAAGGACAAAGTAGGGGGATGGAAGCTAAGAAGTGGTGCTCAAAGACCCACACAACATCAAAATCCCTCTGGGTTTGACAAGTAGAGATTCCTGGACCCCACCCTAGCTGAATCAAAACCCCCTAGGGGAAGACTCAAGGGTTTGCATTTCACTCTCCCTAGCTGATTCTAAAGCACAGGCAGGTGAGGGAAACAGTAGGTAACAGGGCTAGGCTGCCTAGCTTTCATTCTTACGACAAATCAGCCTTTAACAACTCAAATTTGAAAACAAGTATGGAGTTTCCTCTTGGGATGATGAAAATGGTTTGAAATTAAATAGAGGTAGTGGCTGCACAACACTGTGATTACACTAAATGCCACTGAATTGTTCTGTTTAAAATGGTTAATTTTTTATCATGTGAATTTTACCTCATTTTAAAAAATCAAATTTGTAAATAGTTACAAAGAACAATTCAGGAAGAAAATATCCACTCTTCATCCACATAAACTCTTTTTTTAAAATTTGTTGTTGTGGTTGTTCTTAATTTGGGGGGAGGGTCAGGGGGAGGTAATTAGGTTTGTTTATTTATTTTTAGAGGCAGTTCTGGGGATTGAACCCGGGACCTCACGTATGCTAAGCATGCACTCTACCACTTGAGCTACACCCTCTCCCCCATCCACATAAACTCTTAATCTCCAAGTAATTTTAAATTGTGTTTATTTGAAAAAAGTCAGCTTTCTTTCTTGAAAGGAGAGACTGACTAGCTACAGCAGTTAGAATTCAGCAACAGTTGTTAAAAAACCAGTTATCTGATTGAAATTTGCTGGTCTTTCTCAAAATAAAACTATTCAGTTTCATCTCAAACTTTCTTTATGCAGGTCTGTAGAAACATATACACATACACTCAAAATGTGAATATAGTGAAAATCATCTCTTTTAATCATTTTTTCTAAAGAGTCCAAATATTAAATTTAAGTTCTTACCCTCTTCTCTGTGCATCAACCCAGGCCTGATCTCTGTTATCTTTTTCAGGATCATACAGTAATTCATCATTTGTTGGAATTCTGTGTTGTTTCTTCTTTTTTCTCTTGGTCACTTGCGCTAATTTTGAAAATGTTAAGGATATGGCTAAGTATCACGTCTAAAGTTCACACATCTTAAATATAGAATAAAGAATCCCATTTCCTCAACTACATACTCTTTCTATTTGTATTTCCCTAAAAAAATTTTTTTAACTATTCCTCCAAATGAAGTTCAGAACTCAGCTCAAATAATGAGAATTCAGTCTCAAAAAGGCCACTCAAAGCAAGCCAAGAATAGAAACTATTTCTGATGTCTTAAATTCTAAGTTCTCATACATAAAATGCTACTGAAATCAAAACAAAAATGAATGGAAACTTTCAGCAACTGTGAAGCTGGAGAGATCCTAGCTGGACGAGCACGTCAGGTCTAACTGTTCTCCCAGTCCTTTGACCCTCCCCAGAAGCTCCTCAATAAAATGGTTTGATCAAAAAATAAATAAAAACTGTGGTCATCCACATACATCAGGCCGACTTCATCAGGTCTATATTTATGTAACAAGTATATAAAAACATAAAATTGCTTCTTTACGATATAAATTTTTTATATGTGTACTCCAGCATAGTTACTGATATAAGTTAGTTTCAGCTCTTTCATTATGCTCAACTTTGCTCAAATTTTATACAAAATCAATTCCAAAGAACAGAAAGATTGATGAAAAAGCAACAATTTAGGGAAAATTCTGCAAGAGAGTAAAACTATAGAAACTATTTGCAGCTGTAAAAGCAAATGCTGCGGTGCTAAAGATCCTGAAGGAAGAGGGGGCAAAGAGCCCTTCCTCTGAGGAAAGAGGTGCTGTGTCGGTTCCTCCCCCCAGGGGTGCCTATGCAACACCAGTCTCAGGCCCACGTCCTCAGATGTGTGTGTTCCCATCTGTTCTTATGAATTAATTCTGCCTTTGTTTTCACATCAACTGCCTGCAATTTCTTAAAAGATAAAATTCAGAGAGAAATCCTAGTATCAAATAATTGCTGGGTAAAATTTCTTTCATAAAATATAACCGCTACACCTCATAAACTTGTTACCTACTTGCTTTGTCTTCATCCTCAGAATCAGAATCAAAATATATATCATCATAGAATTTTGTTGGAGCCGTTCCAATTTTCCCATTTCCTGAGGCAGACCCTATTCAAACCATAAAAGAAGTTTGAAGACTGAACCATACATAACTGACAAGAAAAAAACCTCCATATATTCTTCCATCACTTCAAAGTGATATCAACTCGCTCCCAATTTCATCTGGGTGGAAAAATACTTTCACGTCAATGACTTATTAGATTTCTGTGCCTTGTGCAATTATAGAAAACTTCATTTCCTTGAATAAGTGTTCCAAATCATGATAAAATTATTCTCTCTCCCTTCCCACCAAGGATTGAAAGCATATTTAATAATGATAAAAGCACATCTAATTAAATAAAATAGCCATATTTTCAAGTTGGCAACATACATATCTCTACCTGTCAGCCATGCAGTATACTGTGGAGAACAGGGAATAAACATCTTGTTTTAAGGGATTTAGAAGAAAGAGGATAAGAGCCCTACAGGAAGTCGGGAGGAATGAGTCAGGACACACTCTTCCTCTCCTCAGTTGTGCCTAGTGCCATAATATTACCTCTACTTAGGTCATTATATGCCTGCATCCCTAATTCTTCCTGCTAATTAACATCTGCTTTTGCTTTTATCATTATCACTTATGCTTTCAATTCTTAATAGTTAATATACAGCATAACAACATGGAAGCCAATGCTGAGTAATCCTACTTTCACAAAGTTTTCAAGTCAGGTATATTTTACAAAGAGATAAAGTATCAAAATGAAGTATGTTTTATTACTTACTAAAATAAGACAGGAATTTGTAGCAACACAACATTCAATCCGTTATATCTGTGCTACAAAACCTTAAAAATAATTTTATAAGCTAATGTGTCCCTTTCTCCTTTTATCCTGGTGTTAAAATTACAAAAGGAAATCATACAAGTAAACAGTACTAAACAGTCTCTTTCCAGCAACACAGGAAACTTCTTCACTGGCAAGCAAAGAAAACTATGCTCAGGTTGCCAAACACATTTACTCATTCACTCAGTAAATATTTACTGAGCACTGACTGAAAGTGCTGGAGACACAAAAGAGCACAAATAACGTCCCCTGTCATTATGGAGCTTAGAAAAATATAGGAAATCTAATTAAAAGTTTACCTGTTTCCAGAGATGATAACTTATCCTCCATTGTTTTTATGGTGGAATTTAATTCAGCTTCCATTTCTTTTTCAAATTCATCTTCACTAGATGATTCACTTTCTCCAGTAAGGCATTCTCTGATGAGTTTTCGTTTTTGGTCGGGAGTTCCATGTAAAAGCACATCCACTTCATCTTCAGAACTAGAACACATTTCAATCAGAAAGAACGTGAATATTAAAAAATATTAAAGAAAGAATATTGAAACACACATCATCTCACTGCCAAACAATTTTAAGCTCTACAAGGTTGCATTTGATTCATCTGTCATTACATACAGCTATTCTCACTTAATAGATCAACCATTTCTGCATATTTCCAAATATATTTTTAATGTCTACATAACATTTCCTCTTGTAGATGCTTTACAGTTATTTCTCTTTGCTATTAAACATTACAGTGAACATCTCCATATATATAACTTTGTTTCTGTTGAATTCCTTAGGTTAAAATGTCTAGAATTAGATACAAACATCCCCCTGACCTCTGGAATTATCACACTACTTTCCAAGAGTATTACACCAATTTATAATTCCATCAGCAATGAAAAGTTTACCTCACAGAACTGGGAGTTTTTTTAAACTCTGGATCCTAAAGTAAAACTTAATATAGGTAACAAATATACAGCTAATATATTCACACAAAATGTTAACAGATAGTAAATGAAACACCTTAGACATTTCTGATATAATCAATAGTACATAAATAATGTTCAATTATTCATGATCTTCAACTGATGAAGAATTACAGACTATTCCTGGGATTTTCTTCTCTATTTTTCTCTTCTAGAACAATGCTTGTGAGCCTTCTGCAGAAGGTAAATAAGAAAAATGCATTTCACACCAATCGATTTTGCTAATGATATAACCTTATCCAGATTATTCTCCCAAGAAAATTCCCCATCTGACATTCCTCATCCTGACCAGCATGCTCCCCTTCTCCATTACCACTATATCCACTCAAGTCCTATTAACTCTGCCTGTACCATCATATCCTAAGGATCTCAAGGCCTCCAAACTCTTCTGTTTCATTCCACCCTTGACCCTGCTGCCAGAATGTTACTCCTAAAGAACTCTCATCACATCACTACCCAACTCCAAAAGAAATCATCTATAACCAACTTCTGAGTACAGCATTCAAAAGAGCCTTCCACAATCTGGTTTCAACTTATTAAACACCTCTCTAACACAATCTTCCTTTTTAAAACAAGCATTGGCTTCAGAGCCTTGAGCAGGCAATACTGTCTAATAACACTGTTTGGTTTTCACAGTATTTATTTTTACAGTTACCTCACCAGTGACAACTGACACAGCAATATAAAGCTTCCTTAAAGAAATTTAACTACAAAAGTGTAAACTGACTTAAAGAAAAATGTTAAATAAATAACAAGATGAATATGGAGATGGTAACAGCAGGATAACTCAAGTTCAGCAAACACTGCTACATTCCAACCAAACTGAATTACTAATTGAGGCTGACATATACCTCCTTTCACAGACTGAACCCATTAACTGAAACTCTTCATAAGAGAATCTTGGAATCCATCCTTAGTCCCCATGACAGAAATCTTCAGAGCAGTCTGATTCCCATGCCTATAACCTCTCCCGGATAATATGAGAAAACATTGTTATTGAAGTAACGAATTTCACAGAAAGCTTAATCGGACAGACTGTTTCAAGGCTTATGAACAGGATATATTGACAGCTTTAAAAATGGCTAAATTTGCCTGCAAATCTCTTGTCAACATAACCGCAAGTTTCCCTCGGACAGGAAATCCCTCCCTTCTGGAAATTCCCATGGAACTTCATCTGTGACTATCTCAGGTCATTTTTTTCTACAGTGTTCTTCTGAGATACACGTTTATTTTCAAGACATATATCTTCCGGAAATAAAAAGTATCTTATTTCTCCTATTTACTGTTAAGCCTGTCGAAGACGAAAACCTTATGACTGACCTCTGTAGCCCAGAGCAAGCACATATAATAGGTGCTCCAAAAAAAGTTAAATATTCCCTTATTTCTGTTTATATCAGTTCAGTCTTCATGATGGTCACCTCACAGTAAGTCCTCACAACATACTTATAATACACTTATTATACTTCTTTTCATGGATGAGAAACCGAGGATAAGTGACTTGTCTCCAGTCACACTGCTAGTAAGCTGCAGAAGCAGGACTCGATCTCATAGCTTCTGAATCTTACATGTAATTCCAGAAATATGCCCCTTCCCCGCGCCAGGGTCGGCCTCGCCTCCCCCGTGGCTGCGCGACCTCACCAGAACCCGCTCGGCGTCCCACAGGCGAGAGCTGGGCCGAGGGTCCGCACGGGCCCGGCAAGCACAGCGAGCGGGGGAGGTTAAGGCCTGGTCTTGGCCCGAAGCCTCGGAGGCCGGAGCGGGTCAGGGGCCCACCTGCTCAAAGCCGGCTCCTCGTCGCTAGGCTCTTCAACTGCGTAAGGGTCATAGTCATCTTGAAAGCGGTTCATGGTAGCCTGAACCCTCGGACACCGTCTACAGGCCTCCGCACAGCATCTGTTTACTCCGCAGGTCCGTTCCCTAAAGCGCTCCGGGAACCACTTCCGCCCGCACTTCCGCCCGCACTTCCGCGCCCTCCCTGCGCGCCTGCGCGGATAGTCCCGGGGCGAGGGGAGGCGGGGAAAGGGGGGGTAGGGAAGGAGGCGGGGAAAGGGGCGTGTCCCAGTGTCCCGAGGCTTTCCTCCGCAGCTCCTGCTTCCTTGGAAACAGCTGCCTTATTACTGGAAGTAGCATTTGGCACCCTCATAAGCGGCAGTCTCTATGGTGGACACTCTACGTGCAGTGTCTCACGTTGTGACGTGAAAAAGCAGCAATCTAGATACTGAGGGAGTTGCAGCCTGAGATCTGGGCCAGTAGGTCTCTGAACACTAGCACCCAACATCCCTCGAACATCCTCGCCTGAAGCCTTTCTGCCTTCTTTTCACGTACGACTGACTCGCCTTCACACTACTCACTTTTCAATCTGACTTCGGCCCCGTCTGTCTACCAAAAAGTTGCTAGGCGGTCACCACTTAGGTCCTAATTACTTTTTCTTAGCCACTTCTTAGTCCTGACCTTTGCTCAGACCTTACCCAATTCCACTTGGATACGTGAGATGAAGCAGATGACAGCTTCTTGATTGTGAGACCGTTTCCTCTCGTTTCTGTACCGGCCTATTCTCAAGTTCTTCTTTCCTTAAAAACAACCTCCCCTTTTCATAATTCCATTCAGATATCTTATTTGATCCTTGCCCTCTCCTCAGATTTCCAATTGCTTGGATATCTCCACCTGCTTCACCACTGGCAATTCAGTCGATGTAGCCCAAATTCAGCTCGACATCTTCCACACCATCACTATACCTCAGCCAATAGCTACTTTTGGCTCAGTTTCTGCTCTCGCAGCTTCCTTCATCCTTACAACTGCTATAGGCTGAAAGTCTTGGAATTGATTGACTTCTTTCTCTGTCCCTCTGTAAGTCCTCAATTCCCAAGTTCTGTAGATCTCTTAGCAGTATCTCTCCCATCCACATCCCATCTCCCCACCCCTCACCTTGACTATTGATATAGACTCCTCCTAATTGACAGCCCTGTTTGCTTTTGTTCCCTCTCCAACCCATGCTACTCTCTACTAGCACAGCTTTTGTCTGGATAATTTCGTTCCTAAAAAGTCCTAACATTTCACCTTTACCTGATGATCTGTTGACCTCATCCTGCAGTATTCTTGCCCCACCAAATATGGCTCAACCTCTCATACCAAGCTAATTTCCTATAGATATCCAGCACGATTTGCTGATTTGAGAATATGAGTTATGCCTTCCACCTTTGCTTATGCTTTTAGGCTTTTGCTTATGCTAGTCGCAGGAGCACCCTCTCCTACTTTTAATTCCACCATCCAAATCCTACCTGTCCTTCAAGATCCATCTGTAAGCAACCAATGGGTCAGTAACTAGAGAGAATGTTCCTTTAGGATACCTTTTCAGCCAGGAGATGCTGTGGTGACAGTAACTCACACTGTACCATTGCTATGGTGCTTTTGAAGGTTCTCTCTATATATAGGATCTTCCTGTGCTTTGAAATCCTGTAGGATAATGTACCACTCACATGCTATGTAATTCCCTGGCTTTCAACTATTGTCCCACCCAACTCTTTTGTGAGATACAATACTCTCCCATGAGTCACGGTGATGTGAAGGAAACACCTGTTGGGGAACCCATTTTTCCTTTTCTGGGAATCGTGGCCCTCCTTCGAGATGTGCTCTTACATCCACATTCATTCTGCTCCACAAAAGTTCAGCTATCACTTTTTTATTCACTCCCATAAACTTAAAATTAAGAGACCTATTCTAAGGAGTTGGCTGTAGTGCTAAGACTTATAATAGAACAACTCAGGACCTGAGCCTGCCATTTTTGGTGGCTGTTTGGGGGTTATATGTGCTAATGATGAACAAGCAAAGAAAAGAAGTATGTAGCAAACAGAGAGAAGCAGGGAGGCTTTCCCCGACCCCCTTGTCAAAAACTGTAAGCCCTCAACCCACCTCCATCTCTCCATCCCATCTTCTCTGTCCCTTAATCCACTTTTCTCCCTTCCACTTCATGTTATTTGTTTGCTTATTTCTGTCTCCCTCTTCCATTTCTCTATTGCTGCACAAGAACATCACCCCAAAACTTAAGGGATTAAAAACAAAAACAATTATGTATTTTCATCCAAATCTGCAACTTTGGCAGGGATTACTCCACTCCCCAGTGCCTGGGGACTACCCGAGCATCTCTCTTTTCCATGCATCCTTCTCCACAAAGCCGTGGGCTTCTGTTGAAGGAGATGATCAATAGGCTGTGACCCACTGGTTGACCTTTGAGCTGGACCCAGGCAATTCCTCACCCCTCCCCATCCTTAGAACGGGCATTCTACCTACTGTTCCCACAGTGGGAGCTGTTCCAAGGATGCAACCTTTAGAGAGTAAAGTGTTATTGAAAGCACCTAGACGGTATACCTGACTGAACCCAGTTAATGCTTCTGTATAAACTTTTAAGACTTGGCAGGCAGGGACAGAGATTACTCCTCTTTCGGGCACCCAAGACAAGTCTAGAAAGTTCCCTTGTTTGTTAAACCTGCTAGCTACCAATTTGAAGTGGCCTGCCTCTTTCTTCACTGTCTCCTTTTGGGGAGGGCCAGAGAAGGGCAGGTGCAGAGAGGTCAATTTGCAAACCAACAGCTTTCTCACAACATGGCAGCCCTGGAGTTGTCAGCCTTCTTACCTGGTAGGTCATCTCCCACACAGGTTTCCCAGAGACCCAGATGGAAGGTGCAAGCCTTCTGCTGACCTAGTCTCAGAATTCCCTGAACATCACCTCGGCTTCGTTCTATTGGTCAAGCTAGTCACTATCTCCAGATTCCAGGAGAGGGTAGCCTGTAACTCTAAACAGGCAGAGTAGCTGGGATGTGAAAGTTCTCAGTTTACTGTCTTAAAAGTTGCCTTTGGCTCACCATCTAAAAATAAAATGAGAAATGAACAGATTAAAAGGAATATTTCAGAAATCTTGAATTGACTATAAATCATAAGTCTATTCTTTACAAAGCTCGAGTGTTTTAAAGGTTTCAAGTGTTTTTAAAATATTTTGTTTATATACACTGAACTCAAGCACTGCACAATTTGAGAAGTTGAAGAAATTCGTACTTTGCCCTGGTTTTCTTCTTTCCAGGTTAGAATCTTCACTTTTTCTTTTTTCCCGTTCGGTTTCACTAGATTTCCTTGTTGTGTATATTGAAGCAGTTCAGGTCTTGAAGCAGTTTACCAGACGCCTACGCCGGAAGACGCCACGAAAAAAACCGATCCCTTTTTACTGAGGAAACCTTATTACTTAAATGTTTACTGGGGGCAGGGGCTGGACGAAAGGTCTTCATAATAACGAAGCCCAGTGAGGATGACTTCGGTCGGACTTCAGAAAACAAAACAGGCTGAAACTTCATTTTTGTTGAAAGGAAGATGAGACCTAACCCGACTCCAGACCCAGCCTCTTAACTACCAGGCGCCTTGCCCATAGAACTCCCATCTTCGCTGGTTCTCTCCAGGTCCGGAGCCGTCTCCGCGCGCCCACGCCCTCACGACATAACACCTAGAGTCTCCTGTGGGAATCAGTAGCTTCCCGCAGCCAGTACAGGGAAGAACAGGACCCAAGGACAGCCGGACGGGGGCGTGGA